TGCTTGATCACTATTAGGATCTTTAGAAAAGTAATTTGACAATTTTGGTCGGAAGGTTCCCTAAAATTGACGATGGCTTCTTGTGATTAATAATTGTAATTTCACTTAAGATAAACACCATATCTTAAGGGCTACATGATTTCTTAAAGGATTTTCACAAAGCATAATGAGTCTCTCATATTCATATTTGATCCAAACGTCCGGACGGATTGTATGTTAAACATACATTTTATGTTGGAGGTTCCAAGTAGAATATATATTAGGAAAACCTAACATTCAAAGTGGCATGTGTAGATCATAAGTAATTGGTAAAAAAAATAATACGTAGGATTGCTAGGTGATGGCGGAACCCTAATGCTTTTATAAATTGGTATTCAAAACTCTTTTCTTGTATCTTCTTAATTTTGGCCGAATTTGCTACCTGGTTTTTAATTAAAATTTGTTTTTAATATTACCCAAAATCAAAATCTCCTTTCCCAATTTCTAGATTTAAGTAATTAATTAAGAATTGGTTTTACATAAATTATTCAAATAGTCCTTTGGGAGAACAACCTTGCATGAGCATAAATACTACAACAACCTTATACTCTTGTAAGTATTTTGTGTGATTTTAACCTTCTTTACATAGGTCATAAAAATCATATCAAGAAATTGGCACCTCGGCCAGGGCTTACTTTACATAAGTTGTGTTTACATTTTTCTTGATTAATTATTTTTCGTCAACAAAAAAAATCAAAAATCAAAATTTTTTATTATTTTCGTTTTGTTGCAGATTCTGCAACCTGCATGGTCCAGACTAGATCAAAAACTGCCCAGATTGCAGAGTTTGATCCAGAACCGGAGCGCACATTGCGACGTCGGTTACAGGAAAGTAATTTGGAGTGGGACTGTTCACTGTAGGACACTTTTCTGCATAACTTGTTTGCTGATTTTGTGGACAAGGAGGTTACTATGGCATCAGGATTACCTGCAACAGGCATGCCACTCAGAGAGTCATTGGATATTCGTGCAAATGATGTTCCAAATTGTATTATGTACCCCACATAGGAAGAGTGTGATGCGTTCGAGATCAAGCACCATATGCTTGAAATTTTACCAACCATTCGTGGGCTGCCATGACACATCCCGATCGAGACCAGGGCATGCTGGCCGTCACGTGGAAGTGACGTAGCCATGTGCACAGTGCGGAAGCTAATAAAATAATAATGGAAATAGTAATACGAATAAATAAAAACTGATTTTACATAAAGAAATGATAAGTGCAACGTAAGTGCGACGCTAGTTCAGAGCATAAGCCTAAAGCAGTCCAAATGAAAATGATGCGACAACTGTACACCCGAAGGTGGCCCTACGCTGGTGAATGTCTGTCATAAATGCCGGGAAAGCCCTCTGGGAAACCACCAAACCTGCTAATCAACTAGAACCTGGAGGGGCGCAAAACAAAAGTGTGAGTGGGCAAAAACAAAGCTTTTCGAAAACCATTTAATAAATACGTTCTAACCCCTCGTCGTAAAACCTGTATACTTCCCAGAAAATAGATATACGTATATATATATATATATATATATACACACCAATCATGCTCAAGAATATGTCATGCCAAAACCTCAAAATGAAATGCAAGTGCTCAGGTATAAATCATATCGATAACATACAATCTGACAGCCGGAGTCACCGAACGTGACATGTACAGCTGAATCTAGAGCTCAAATCTCAAACTCACTAACTGGACCTGCACACGAGTCGAAACCACCTAAAGTGGTATGTACGACAGGCCTGGGTGTAATATATATATATGCTCTAGTGCTACGGTCACGTGAAGGCTGGGCGAATAATCGCAGGTCACCTACGAGTCGGAACCACCTAGAGTGGTCTGTACAACAGGACTGTGCACCTAACTTGGATCCAAGCTGAGCGTGGGTGCGGGAGGTGAACATCACGTGAAGGACTGTGCCTAACTCTGGGCGGGAGCACTAACACCGGAGGTGCAGGTTATGAGCTCTCTAAATATCTCGAAACACTACTGAATATAAACATGAATAATACTTACCTGGCACTTACCTGTGCATCCATAGCACCAAATATGCATATAAATATGTATACGATTAATATTGCTACTAACGATGCATAAACAACGATAATATAATGCATGGCATATGGCAAATAACAATTCAAATCGATTTCTGGGAAAATATATGTATATAGGTATATACGGAAAACCAAAAGCCACTCACTTATATGTGGAAGGGTCGTAGCCCCCTGCCTCGAGTGACCACGCTCGTCCTCGGGATAAGTATCACCTATATGCGAAACAACTACAAAAACGTTAATTTTAAAGCACATAACCAACCTTTAGAAATAACTTCTCATACAATGCTCAAATGGGGTATATGAATACACCAACGTGATCTACTCAACCTCAGGAACATCCCCATATTTTTAAAATAATTTTGCACCGTCGCACGCGCCCCCACGCACAGGCACGTGCCTGGCATGCTGACAGCGTCAGTTGACGCCGTTAGGAATATTCCGTTATTCCTAACAGATTCTGTTAACGGCGTCAGGAATATTCCGTCGTCTTCTCCGGCAAGCCTCCGACGCCGTCGCCGGCGCCGGAAAACTGGGAAATTTTCAAACTTTGGTATCTTCTTCGTTTTTCACCCAAATTTCACAAGATTGGTACCAAAATGAAGCTTACAACGAGAGGAACACAATCATACTACTTTCAAGGGCTAAAATCCACGAAATCTCACCTGGAAAATCACCCCAAATCCGGCCAACCTCGAAACTCACTATCCCGACGTCCAAAACCTTCAAACGAACCACCCCGAGCCTCCTAGGGACCTCACCAAGCTTCCTACAAGCTTGAAATTCCCTAAAACGTGAGAAATCACGTGAGCATGAACAGTATCAAAATCGGGCATCGTGAGTTCGACGTGAAAACGAGGGTATTCTCACCTGAAAAAGGTATGGTTGGACTCCTACAAGCCTCACGAGCACGAATATGGCCTTGGTTTCTTCGATCTGTGGAGGTTCAATGGGTTTGTGGGTGTGTCCGTACGTTTCAGGGAGAATGGGAAGGAATAGGGACTCGGGACAGAGGGGTACAGGGTAAGGGAAAGGGTGTGGGTGCAGGTTATGGTGTGTGGCCCAAAACATGCCAACAAGGAACCAAAAACAACCACAAAACGTAAAGAAATCGAACTAGGGGCAAAATCGTCTTTTCACGCGTACGTTTTAAATTTCCCGGGATGGGCTGTTACATGCCAAACGAGGATGCGAATATACACATTGAAAAGTTCATAGTGGGCTACAAAAATATTTTAATCAGGGGTTTCTCTATGAGGCTATTAAACTCCATCTTTTCCCTTTCACGTTAAAGGATAAGGCAGAAACATGGTTATTCACGTGCCAGCTAATAGCATTACTACTTGGCAACAATTACATACAAAGTTCTTGAACAAGTATTATTCAGCATTCAAGACATTGAATTACAAGATAGAGATTATGACATTCACTCAAAAGCCTAATGAGGAGTTTCATGAAGCATGGGAGAGATGTACATATATGTACATGAAATGTCCTCACGCTAATATTGATGCAGATACACAAATGAATTTTTTTTTTTTTTTTTTTTTTTTTTTTTTTTTTTTTTGTGGACTTAATCTTATCTAAGAGCCATGTTAATGCATCAGCTGGAGGATCATTGTCAAATAAATCTGCAAGAGAGGCATTGATAGGATGCCCATAGAATCTCAACAGTGGGCAGCAGAGCATTCACCAAAAAAGGGCATCTTTGTGTTATCAGTAGGTTCTCCTAACATGTCTGCACAAATGGAAAAAAATGGAAAAGAAAATTGATGCAAAATTTGACATAATTCTACAACAGATAGCAGGTTTTACATAGCAGTAGACACCTGCAGCAACAGTTTGCACTATTTGCAGCATGGCTACGAATGATGTTAACAAAAATATGGGTTTTCTCGACATTTTCGTTCCTTACAAAGGAACAAAAATTCAACAAAGAAAATATCTGAACACGCTAACAAGTAAGTTTTCTAATTCGTCTTCATTTCTCATAAAACAAACCATGTGATTGTTGAAAATGGCATGGCAAATGATCATTTTCTCACCACTATAACATGCAACAATTTATTGGTAACACGGCGAGGTCAATGATGGTTGTGGTGGAAATGACTTGTGTCGAGACTGAGTCTAATTGGGCTATCAAGTACCTTGTTTGGCCTTTTATGTCCACTTGCCTATTTATAACTTGTTTTTATGTTTATCTCATGTAACAAATTTTTTTTTTCAATCAAGAAAGCTTATGTATGAAGAAAAAAAACACATGCCACAATTTAAATCACCCATTGTAAGCCTTAAATTACAGTATAGGCAACAATAACAGTGTCGGGGTGGGGCGGATTGAGGAATGATTTGCTTGCTTGTGGATTTATGCTCTACATATTTCGATATTCTATGACTCATAAATGCTCACATGCACATCTACGGTTTGCACATGACCTGTATTTATGATGTATTCCATTTTATTGACAATATAATAATAATACACTATAATATCAAGATGGTAGGGATACGTTTTCAATACACATCCACCTGGATTATGCACACAACCCAAGTGCGCAGGTGTGCAAACACCTCTTCTATAAATATGTAACGAAGACCCAAAAAAGAAAAGATAATGGTTTAGGAAAACCATTTTTTTTAGTTTTATTTTACTTTTGATTAATTAGTAAACACTTGAATACTCGTAATTGGATTCAAACTCCTTGCTTTGATTCCAATTACAAATAGGTAAACACGTGACAAGTGTCAGAGATGATTTCGCAAATTTAAACAAATCCACACAAACAACCATGAGTAGGAAAGAAGTAAATGAAAGATGGACGAGAAACTCGCATTTGTATTTCAAGGTGAGCGAGTTTTAAATTTTAAATAATAAAAAGCAAAGCACATATAAATGAATAACTGATTTATCAGTCAACCCTCGTGCAAGTATATCTAAGAAGACACACAAGTTGGAACTTCAAAGTGACAATACTTGCAAACCAACATGTAACACAACACAATAAAACGCCCGCCATAGATTGGATGCATAAATATGTTAAAAATCAGCTAGACTTAACGGCCAGATCGTGGATATCCAACTGAGGGTGGAACTCACTGATCAATGCGAGACATCTGCAGAAACTGAGGCACTGCCATAGGTTGCGGTCCAAACTGGCCATCTCGTTTGTCCATTTCAATCTTATGCTGTGTCTGCAAAATCCCAAGTCAGAAGTCAGCCGACGATGATGTTCACCTGATTTTCGTTCTAGTTTTCACATTTCGGAATTTTAAAATTGAATTACGAGGGAAAAAAAAAAAAAAAAAAAAAAACCACTTGGTTACCTGCATACATGCACAGACCCTGCATTAAAAAGCAAATGCAAAATTAGTAACTTCCAATCAACGTTGGTTAAGAATGTTCAATGGGAAAAAGAAAGGAACTTACGTGCAGTACACCATGTCAGACAGACAACTCAACAAATGAGATGCCCGTGAGATTTCTTGATTTCCAACAATCATCGCAACTATGGAAAAGATACACGCAATTTGTTTTAGGAAGAGCATGAAACCCTGTTAACAAGGAGAAATGTAATTAACAGCTGAATAGCATATTACTATAAATTAGAAAGCACAATGGAGCTCTGCTACAAAGATTTATAAACCAGAATATTGTGTTGCAGGAGAGATTACAATGATGCAATTATCACACTGCGTTGTCTGTATATTGAATTCATCTTGTAACAGATGGCGGGTTGAGGCCACTGAATTCCCAAAGCACAGGAAAACCTGGAACGTCAAGCATAGGATGAAAATTAGAAACTACGGGAAGAGAAAAAATAAGATTGTTTGCGTACACAAATGAAAGAAAAAATAAAACACCTAAACAAGTCCATTGCAGTCTGTACACTAAAATTCAATCCCTAAAGCAAATTTGACCTTCAAGGCTTCAATTACTCTTTCCATATAATTGATTGCTTATGGAAAACTCCATGAACTGAAAGCCCTACTTTATTGGGCATAATTGAACTGCACTATAGCCACATTTGAACAAAGTCATGATATTCATGACCCATGAAATTCAGATAACGTATGGATTGGTTTGTTTGTACAGCATTGAACAAATGAACCAGATTCTGATCACGCCATTAGAAGACAGGCACCAAGAGGCGAAAGAACCAAATTTGAGCAACTTGTTATGTTTCTTTTTTGCACTAATTCTTATTATATTCTATGATTCTATGTTTCGGAGGAGCTTAATTAGCCAAACCACATGTGGCAAGAGAATCTATCAGATGATGGAATACCAGTTTGCTTAGGAAAACAACCAAGGTTTTCTAAAAGCCAAAGATTAAACACATTGGAAGACTTCAGTCAGTCCAAAGTGAAACGCCCTTGGCAATAAAAAATACAAAAAATATCCGTCAATTTACATTATCGTTGAATAAAATTTGGATTCAGTCTATTTTTAGAGGTCACTTAAGAGTTCATGATGTTATTAAGAGCAAATATAGGTGTGATTTTAAAAACTTCATGTTTTTTTATTTTTTTTTTAAGAGCTTCTACTAGTTAAGAGTCTTCTATAGTATTTCTAAGGGTCAGTACGGATTCTATTTGAATCTTCTAAATAAGAAATCTCATCTAAAAGTTAGAACTTGGACGAATTAAACAAAACAAAAGTGTTGTTCAAGGCTTGGTTTGGTTCTGTTGATATCTCCTTCTGCACTAACTCTCTTTTCTCTTCCTCATTCTTCTCTCTGCCTATGAATTCCCAAAAGTTAAAGTGAACAAAATAAAGGGTAAAGTGAATAATACCAGGATTGATTTTTTTGTATAAAAATGTTGTTTTTCATTAAAGTGAACAGTACCGCGGTTTTTCGTTAAAACTCTCTTAAAAATAAAAAAAAACCTTAACTCTTCTTTTTCTCTATACTTCTTTTGATTAATAATACTTTTTCTGTCTAAAAGCTCACATTAACGATAGGCAAACTCACCTAGTGCTATCCCATACAGCTGAACTTTAAGCATTTTTAGCTGCATGGGATGCAACCAAATTAAATCTAACCATTTTCAGATGCATAAATTTAGCTAATCAATTCGTTGGACGACATCGGGATCGTCACTGTTTTCTATCGGCCGGTCTCCTATCAGGATTTTAGGACTTTCAGAAATACTCAACTCATACATAATTAGCTATCAATCTGTCCTTTCTATACAAAAGGCATGAAGCTAAGATAGTAAGAAAAAACCAAGAATGTGGTAAAATCTACCAGAAAAAAGGACAAATATTATGACACAAAGGATTTAGATGTTAAACCAAGGATTTGAATAAATCATAAAATTACATTCATTTTATATATACCTCAGTTGCCAGGCAGAATTCAGGACATTTACTTTCCCCACACCTTCCGCTACAGGGCATATAACCAGCACAGCATACATATCTACGATAAACAAAAGCGCCATTATCACTGTATTCATATCAAAGGAGGGTCACACAGTTCATATTAGGATTCAAGCAAAATCAAAAGTATAAACCACCTTGACATGTCATTATAAAGTGCTCGTTTCCGGAGCAAGTATGATGCACATGGCGCACTACATCAAAACAAAGTAAATTAATATCACCACAATGGAGAAAAAACTCGATGCTTAATCGAATGGTCAAAACTATGGGTGATTTAGATTTTGGCCCTTACAACTCATTATTTCTAAATAAAAACTCATCTTTTTTTAAAGATCCAATATAAGCCCAAATTTAAGATCCGCAACCACATTGAAACACTATTGACCTATTAATACAATTTATTTACACTCATGCCACTCATACTTTATAGTTCGTTTTGCAAATTCCTAAATTTATGCCAAATCCAAATTAGTAGAAAAAGTGAAATAAAATATATAAACTATTTGCGTTAATTGTATCCATGTCGTACCAGAAATTTACGTTTTTTCGTGATATATTTTGCAATAATTGTATCCATATTTATGGGTAGGTATATTAGTTTGTTCCAATTATTAAAAGAAAAAATACCACACCTATATTTATATTTTTTGAATCAAATTACATTCCTATAACTTGTAGGTAAATTAATTTGTTCCAATTATTAAAAAAATTTCAAAAAAAAAAAAAAAATACTACACCTATATTATATATTTTGAATCAAATAACATTCCTCTAACTTGTAGGTAAATAATTTTCCATGACGTTTTGTTGATGTATAAACATGATTGTTACATAATATTGTTAATATTATGCATCAAACTACATTTCTTTTGTTATAGGTAAATTATTTTCCGAGTACTAGTACATATGTTAGACACGTTTTGTTGGTATATACAATATTTTGTATCATTGTAAAGAAAGATATTACATTATACCCAAGGTATAATTGTTGCAGGTAAATTATTGAAAATTAATTTGTAGGTAGGTAATGAACATTTTGCATCACTGGAAATGAACATTTCAAATAGTAGGTAGGTAAATTGATTTTTTCTAAATTATACTACACCTAGTTGTATTTAATTTTTGCATCATTGGAAATGAACATTTCAAATAGTAGGTAGGTAAATTATTTTTTTCTAAATTATATAAAAAATTATACTACACCTAGTTGTATTTAATTTGTTCCAATTATTAAAAAAACATTATACTACACCCAACCAAATAACATTTCTCTGACTTGTAGGTAAATTATTTTCCATGTATTGTTAGATATGTTAGGCATGTTTTATTATTGTATATACATGGGTGTAACATAATATTTTTAATATTATGCATCAAACTACGTTTCTTCTTAATATAGGTAAATTACTTTCCATGTATTAGTACATATGTTAGGAACATTTTGTTGTTAGTATATGCAATATTTTGCACCATTGTAACAAAGAGATATTATATTACACCTATGGTAGAGGGCAAGGTAGGAGGGAGGGAGGGAGGGAGCGGGTGGTGAATGGCGAGTGCAAGTGCCAGAATTCAAGTTGGCAGAAAAGGAAGAACCAGTTGGGGGCCGGAGGTTATGGGTGAGGGGACGGTTAGCGGGCCAGATTTGGAAGTTGACCTTTCTACACCAATTTTGGTAAAGGAAGATATTAGGGAGGATTCCTTGGTATCTCTTGGGGAAGGGAATCAGGAGACAACGACAACTTTGGCGCGAGTGGCTCTGTTATGTGCAAATTTAATTAGTAATTTTGGTGGGGAGTCGCATGATGTGGTGATGGGGAGTGTGAGGTAACTGGTGGGGGGACTTTAAGTAGGGATAGGGCTTTAGGCTTAGGTGGTGGGCCAAGGTTATTATTGGGTAGTTTGTTTCCTATTAGGGATGTGACACCTAATTTGGTTTGTGGGCCCGTGTCTCCACTAGGGTCTAATTTTTTTGGCCTAAACCCATTTATCTATGGTGCATCCCACAAACAGCTTTCGAGATCAGGTGAAGAAAGAAAGAGATGTCAAGGAGATGGGAGGAAAAGCTTCCGGTGTACAAATACTAGAAAAAGATTGCGTTTTTCGATCTCCCTAGTTGATGGGGTTGCAGTCTTCTTAGAGGATGGGCGATCATCTCATAACCCAAGTTTGCTTGCCAACTTAGAGTTAGGTTGTGACGGGCAGGTAGAGGAGAAAAGAGTAGAATCAGAGAATCACCAAGCTAGAGATAGGGCTTTATCTAAGTACAAGAAGTTATGCTCTAGTTCATCGGGGACTAGGCGATCGTCTCGTAACTCAAGTTTGCCTACCATCTTGGAGTCAAGTTGAGACGAGCAGGTAGGGGAGAAAATAGTACGATCAGGGAAGCACCAAGCTAGAGATGGGGCTTCATCTGGGTACAAGAAGTTACGCTCTAGTCTATTGGTGGGGAGTACCGGTGAGCACCTCCTCCGTTCACAATGAATGCGTTAAGTTTGAACTACTGAAGACTTGGGGACTCTCGTACAGTTCAAGCTTTGTTGGAAATCATCCAACGTCAACGTCCTCACTTGGTTTTTTGTGTGAAACCAAGTATAATGTGAAGGTTATGAAGGAAAACATTAGGATCATGGGTTTTACAAATGGTTTTGTCGTCCCAAGCAATGATAGGTCTGGTTGTTTATATTTGTTATGGGCTGATGATGTGGAGTTGGAGGTTCAGTCGTCATCGCTGAATCATATAGACATGGTATGCAATGAGGTCGGGATTGAGCATTGGTGGCGGTTGACTAGGTTCTATGGTCATCCAACGACGGCGAATCGGTATTTATCATGGTTTTTGTTGTCTTCTCTTAGGCAACAAGTGTCTTTACCTTGGCTTTGTCTCGGGAACTTAAATGAAATTCTAAGCGTGCAGAAGCAACTTGGTGGCAATGTGAGAAAGGATAGTCAGATTGATGGGTTTCGAGCTACGATCCAAAACTGTCAGTTGGTTGACATAGGTTATGTTGGATGTGATTTTACATGGACAGATAATAGGGAGGATGAGGTGAGGTACAGATTGGACCATGCGTTGGCCATTAATTCTTGGTTGGCTTGGTTCCCCTTGTCTAGAGTGTGTCACTTGAACCCATCCAAGTCTGATCATTTACTGGTGTTGGTGGAGATTCGGAGTTCTTCGGTGGTGCGGGCTAAGAAGGGAAAGAGGTTTTGGTTTAAGGAAATGTGGTTACAATGGGAAGGTTGTGAGAATGTCATTCAGAGTGCTTAGGCTTTTCCGAGTGCAAGAATGCCGTTATTCCAGGTTTGTGAGAATATTCATGACACGCAAGTGGCGTTGTTGGAGTGGCAGCACAATGTGTTTAGTTCGACGAGATTGGAAATTGCAAATGTTTGAGAGAAGTTGGGTGTCTTGTTTGAGCACCCACCATTGATAGAGTAGAAGGTGTGTAGGGGAAATTAATGGGTACTTTGGATTCACTGTTGAGTAGAGAATAGACATTTTGGTGGCAGCAGTCTTAAACACAATGGTTAAATGAGGGGGATCGGAATACAAAATTATTTCATCAACGTGCTTCGAATCGGGGAAGGAAGAATATCATTAAATGGTTGCGGGATGAGGCTGAGATTTGGCAAAAGTCTGCTGATGGTATCGAGCATGTAGTGGTGGATTATTTTAGGAAGATTTTTCGATCCCAAGGGGTTTTGCTGATGTGGTGGAGGTTGTTCGGTCTTTCTTGATGCCAAGCCATTTGTTCCAAAAGTTAACAAACCTTAGGATATGACCCAACTAAGGCCGATTAGTTTATGCAATGTAGTGTATAAGATCGGGGCTAAAGTGTTAACTAATCGTCTTAAAGAGATTTTGCTTACTATTATCTCTCCACATCAGAGTGCATTTGTACCTGGCAGATTGATCTCCGATTATTCGTTAGTGGCTGCGGAGATTGGGCATTTTCTCCATAACAAATGACATGGTCGATAGGGGTATTTGGCTTTGAAATTGGACCTTAGCAAAGCATACGACCGTGTTGAATGGAAATTCCTGGAAGCTATGATGGTTAGGTTGGGGTTTGCTAGGGAATGGATCAAAGTGATTATGGCTTATGTGTTATCGGTCCTATTTTTTCCTAATTAATGGGGATCCTAAGGGCTATGTTCTACCATCTCGTGGACTCTGCAAGGTGACCCGATCTCGCCGTATCTTTTCCTACTATGTGTGGAGGCTCTTTCGGCACTTATTGCCTAAAATGAGCAGTGTAGGGCTCTTAGCTGTATTCATATTTATGAAGGTGCTCTGAATATTCATCACTTACTCTTTGTTGATGATAGTTTTCTATTCACGAAAGCTAGTCTTGATGAGTGTGCGGTTATTCAACATATAATGGATGTATACTCTCAAGAGTCGGGGCAAGTGGTAAATTTTTTGAATAGTAGTTTTGCTTTCAATGAAAATGTTGGTTCGATAGAGCAGATTTTTGTGGTCGGGTTTCTTGGTGTCTAAGTGGTGGAGCAACATGAACGCTACTTAGGGCTTCCTACCTTTGTGGGGAAAAATAAGAAACAAACATTCTCCTACATCAAAGAACGGGTTCTAAATAGGCTATATGGGTGGAAAGGAAAATGCTTAAGTAGTGTAAGGAGTGAACTTCTTATTAAAGTGGCTGCTTAGGCCCTTCCAGCTTATGCTATGAATTTTTTCTTACTTCCTAAGACTTTTTGTGATGATCTTCACAAGTTGATGGCTCAATTCTGGTTGGGCAATGATCCAAATACGAGGAAGATACATTGGTGGTCTTGGGAAAAGCTTTGCAAACCGAAAGAGGATAAGGTATGGGCTTTCAGGACTTATTTGCATTTAACTTAGCGGTTTTGGCTAAGCAAGGGTGGCGTATTTTCCAGCAACTTGATTCTTTGGCGGCATAACTATTCAAGGCTCGTTATTTTCCCATCATATCCTTTTGGGAGGAAACCGTTCCGAAAAGTTGTTCATATTGCTGGTCTAGTATTTTAAAGGAATGGAAGGTGTTGGTTCGTGGCTCCAGATGGGTTGTTGGGAATGGTGCGTCTATTAAGGTATAGAAGGATAGATGGTTACCAAGACCTCATTCTTTCAAAGTCCTTTCTATTGCTGCTACTGATCAGGAAGATATGCGTGTCCATGAGCTAATTGATACAGAGTCTTGCTCATGGAAATTGGTTAAGTTACATGCTTTGTTTTCAGATGAGGAGGTGTGTTTAATTAATATTATGCTAATCATTTTTCGTTTACCGTCGGATCGGTTAGTTTGGCCCTATAATTATCGTGGTGAGTATACTGTTAACAGTGGCTAGGGAGTTGGTGCAATCTATCTTGGTTGGTGTGTCAAGGGCGCAGTGCTTTTTCACCTGCCTAGAAGTCAATATGGAGGGCTAAGATTCCTCCTAAGGTGAAAATTTTTACGTGGAAAGTTAGTAAGGACATTATTCTGACTAAATTTAATTTTGCAAGGAAGGGGGTGCACCTTGATATGGAGTGTGGGGCGTGTTCAAGGAATCTTGAAACGGATGGGCATGTGCTCTGGGAGTGTGTGTTTGCAAAGGCTATGTGGTTAAGGTCTCCGTTACGAGTTAGTATCTTGTCGGAACCGGGAGCGTTGATGCGTGAGTGGCTCCTTTCAATAGTTGAGAATCAAATAGCTAAGTGTGATCTTGTTTGCATGGTTTTTTGGGGCTTGTGGCAGGCATGTAACTCTCTGGTATGGGATGGGCATTGTGGACAACCTATAGAGGTAGTATAGAAGGTCGTATGTTGGTATCAGGCATTTTTGGTAGCCCATGAAGTGCAGAGTGTGCCAAAGTCGGTTCCTCAACTCAAATGGATGACCCCCTCTGATTGGCGGGGTAAAATCAATGTTGATGGGGCCATACGGCTGGAGCATTTTTCTAGGGGAGTGGGAATTATGTTAAGGGATTGGATGGGGAAGTTTTTAGCAGTGGGAGCATGGAGGAATGAGGGTATTGGGTCTGCTCTTCATGCGGGGTTTGAGGTAGTTTTGGAGGGCCTTCGGCTAGCGGGGATGTTGCAGGTTAAACAGGTTATTATGGTGAGTGATTCCGTTCTCGCTATTGGTGCTATCAATAACTATTCTCGAGATTTGTCCCAGTTTGGTTTCCTAGCGGAATATGTCAGGCAAGTGGTGGAGTTGTTTTTCCCGATCCATTTTGTGCACACGCTAAGAACATGTAATGAGGTTGCCCATAGATTAGCTAAGTTTGTCATTTCTATTGGCAATGAATGTGTACGGTTAGAGGACCCACCTGATCTCATTCAGGACCTCCTCAGCTAGGAGTTGATGTAGTGCATTTGATTTCAATAAAATATCGAGTTTTTGTCAAAAAAGAAAAAAATTACACTATGGTATAATTGTTGTAGGTAAATGAATGTGCATGTAGATAATGACAGACAGTGTTCTGATATATTAATAAAAAACGGATAAAGTCAAAAGTATTCAAGAGTAAAGGAAAAAAAACTGAATCAAATTCTAGTTTTATGACAATTCAAAGCCTTTTTTTAAATTAATATGCAATGAATTTTTAAATAACTCTCTCCCTACAATTAATTGTGTACACTAAATATGTAATAGGGGTATTTTAGGCACGTGAAAATTTTAAAAGGTGTAAAGTAATATTAAATAAATGAATTCGCTTATGTGGATTTAAAAAAAAAAATTAGTTGGTGTTTTTTTTAAGAACTAAAGTCATATTTTCAGTTCAATTTATTAGGGGGTTTCTACTTATACTAGTCTTGTTCATTAGCCTTTATCCAGTGTAAAAGAATTCGAGCCACACTATATGTATAATGATTAACTAGTATTAGAGTATGGATTTTTTTTTTTAACAAACGATATTATCTACACTAAAAAGAAGGGGGTGGACTTAGCCTCATAATGAGCTAGCAATAATGGTTCAAATTTGTCTTTGGCGAGAATCGAACTTAAGACCTCTCACTTACAAGTGAACAAGAATACCACTAAACCGTAGTATTAAGTGGCTAGAGTATGGATAATTTATGATCTGTTTCTGCAATTTTCGGCTTTACTGCCACCACTATACTACACTCTGATGGTTTTGTTCTTAATTTCTTTCTTTTTTGACAAGTAAACGAAATCTATACGGAAACAAATAAATAAAACTAGTTAGCTAATAGTCTATAAGTATTCCCCTCCATTTTGTTAGCACCAAATAAACATTATTCAAAAATTGATACAAGAAAATAATATTCTCACATTACATTGAGAAATCCAGTAAAAAAATAAACAATGCGAAGTAGCAATGAAACAAGCAACGCTCACCAGAACGCCGCAAAGCAGCAATCTGCAACAACAAACATTTACAGTACCATATTACATATTAAATCGATCGAATTTAGAGAGAGAGAGAGAGAGAGAGAGATTTACAGGGAGTGTCGGCCTGAATTGTGCCCATGAGGTCGGAGTGCCAGAAATTCCGGTAGTTCTGGCGAGCCTGCAACTTGTCCATGTACTCCTGCGACGGCATGGCTGCTGCTTCTGCTAGTCGTCCGAACACACCTCACTCGGAAAATCGGAGAAGAAGAAGAAGCGAAGAGCCAATGGAAAGTTGGAAAAATTGTGAAATTTAGAGTCTTCCGGCAGAGTTTTATAGTTTTATTCCGTTTTAAGAAATCAAATGGACGAGGACAAAAGAAAAGTAATAAGCCAAGTAAGAAGATTACACGAATAATTAAAATATTATTATTTATTAATAAAAAAATAATAATTAAATGGTCAACCGCGTGGAATTTAATGACGTGGAAATTTCCAGTTTTTGAAATTTCGATGAATCCGATGATACAAAAAAGAACTTAGTCCAGTTGGATTGGATTACTTGATTGGTTGATGACATGCTGTCAACGCCTTTTCTTGTTGTCCGGCCTGTTGGAATACGTTGTGTTTTTATGTTTGTTTTGAGTACCTAGCATTCATGTTCTATTTTTCGTGTTATACTCGATATTTTAATCGGTTGTATTGTGTAATACATGTTAAAATTAAAGGGTAATATGACCCGATTTGAATTCAACTCGTTATAACAGGTAATATAACCCAACCCAACAAGAAATTATCAAGCCTACATGAAAGGTCTGAAAGGACTTGGTAACTAATCGGTTCATATTATCCGTTAATATTAACAGGTCAATTTCGAGTCTGGTCATAGTACCCATTCATTTTAACAGGTGTTACGACATGACACGTTAAGATATTTGATATGACACAAAAACAACACGAATGCTAGGTCTACTTCCATGGTAGTTCGAAAAAATTGAGTGTGATATTAATATATTGATCTCATGAGAAATGTTAAGGAGACTATCCTAGACTTTCTACTATCTCATGCTTTTGGCACAATGTTTTATAGCGTTGACACAAAAATTGATGTTAAACTATGATGTGAAAAAGAGTATGTGGAGAGTCCTACTTTGAGAGTGTTTTCAGCATTTCTCTTGAACTCATATAAGAATCACACTCTTAGACCTTCCATAGTGGTTTAGGTGAGTGTGATACCTATATACAGGAATCAGGCATCCTAAATTTGATTTCTATAATACTACCGCTACATTAGTTGAGTTCAATATATCGGTACTATATTCACGAATTAAAAATATTGAACTCATCTAATATATTGAACTCATAAGTTCAATAAACTGGTATCACACTCAAATTTTCTAGGGCATTGTAAAAGTGTGATTCGTATATGAGATCAACATATTAGCATCACACTTTTTCCAACCCACTATGAAAGACCTTATAGAGGTCCAAAAAATTTGAGTGTAGCGTCAATATATTAAACTCATGAGTCTGATATTAATATATTGAACTCACACTGGTGTAGCAATAGTATTGTAAGTATTTAGAAGGCCGAAAAATTTGAGTGTGGCGTCAATATATTAAACTCATGAGTCTAATATCAATATATTGAACTTACACTAGTGTAATAATAGTATTGTAAGTATCAAACTTAGATTGCTTAATTCTTACATACAAGGGTTGTCGAAGGGAAGTGGCAGCAAATCTCTCTCTTGCCTACCTGTGTGTTGATGAACTCAAAAGGATGGGCTTGTATAGGTCCCCACAAGAAGCCCAAAACCTTCATTACATCAATTTTCTCCATGGGCTTTGTGAATTCTTGCACGCATCCATATTTCAACCCACTCAACGAGCCCCATGAAATATGTGTCTTGGGCCTACGTTAATCTGTCGGGAAAGCTTGGCACAACGAGATGTTGCACTGCTTGGGAAGGTTTGCGACGCTGAAAGCTTGTGGGACATCGACTTGAAACTTGTTATGCAACGGCTATCAGCTTGTCAAATTCTGATTTAGAGCGAGTCGCACTTGATCGGTCCTTTTGTTTTTTTTTTTTTTGACAAATAGGAGGTCAACTATTCTAATACTATTTTCGTCCAAATTCGCATAACTTTTGAATTCTAATGGAATCCGATGTATATGAGTTGGTGTGATCGCGTCCTTTATCTCTAAATTTTACTAATGTGGTTTTCTTGAGTAGAATTTTATCTAGCTCAACTACTCACCTCAAAAACCTAGAATAAAGTTTCATGAACTAAATGTTACCACTAGTATGGTGTTAATCACTAAAACATTTTTATGCTTAATCTTTCAAAACTTTGCTAGTGTTTAAGACCTAGAAAGTTACACGCATGTGTATTTGCTTGTCTCTTACCCTTATATAAATATTTTATCTATCAACTTTTATTGTCATTATACTGAGCGTTCTAACAATAATTTCCTAATTATAAGCGGTGACTTTATGTTGTAACCGCTTCTTGATGACCTTGGATAACTCACACAATCATGAGCATGTTGCATTCGTAAAACGATTCATTGAGGATTGTATTTTCGAATTAATGTACTTCTCAACTGGTCCAATGAATCGTGCGTTAAAGAGAGGATACAACGTGGAGAGCATAAATTGATTATACCCTCCCTAATTTTTTATCCTTAATTCCTTTCATGTGGACCTGCCCATTTTAACCCCACCGTAGTTGGAAACTTTATCCTAACAGCCCACTAAATACCCTGTTCAAACTCTTTTTCATTAATGTAAGTTAGTATAGAATATCACTAGTAATTAAAACTTTAACCTAACGGCACAACCAAAGTTACTTTGTTATCTTGGTTGCGCCCTTGATTATATGTGGAACAACTCCACATCCTCACACACCCTAATGTGTGGCGACACTAAGTAAAACATTGTAAACAACACATATTAGGTGAAGCGGAGCACGCATGGTCATTGGGACTCTAACATATTAAAGGAAGTTAAGGTTTTACCTTAAATCCACTTAGTAATAAAAGAGTGGCCCAATATTACACGCCCTCGAAAAGTTTATTAATTTTTAGGGTGAGATAACACTCCACATCCTCAACATGTACTAAACAAGTTAGCTTTGTCAATCTATCGTAATCAAAGTCTAACAAATAAAGAAGGGTAAAATACACAAAGCTATCTTAACTGTTGGTCAAACCACAATATCATGCCTCATATTTTAAACATTGCAATGTCATACCTCAACATATGAATTTGTTGCAATGTCAGACCTTCGTTACATTTTCTGTCAATTTGGCTGTTAAATGATGACATGACAGGAGCGGAGCTCACTCCTTCGTCAATTGGAATACAAAATTAATTCATTATTGATAAATTATTAATTTTTATTTTATAATTAAAATTAATTGAAAAAAAAAATCTCTCTCTCTCTTCTCCCCAGATTGCCGGTCTTCTCCCATTTCCGATCGTTTCCTCCTTCACTCCCTCCTCCTCCATCACTCCTTACCCTTACTCCCTCCCCAGATTTCTGGGGTTCTAGGGGTGCTTGATACAGACCAGAAGGGGTTTCAGAGTGACAAGATCACAAATCTCAGGACCTATTCAACCTGCAAGCAGTAATAATAATGGCAAATGGAGAAGATGAAGTAGAAAGGAGCAATGCTCCAATATATTTGTGTGTTTGTATTTCTTTCTGTGAAAACGGTTCTAATTACAATATTGAGAGCTAGTGCTCTTATACAAGTTACAACTCATCATGCCAACTGGCCAATTATAACAAACTTCACTAAAACATGAATAAGCCTAATAATCCCAAGATTACAACCTTTGATAGTGATTAAGCTAATCACTAATTACAGATCGCATCATTACTCCCCCCTTAAGACCATCTTCAATCCATGGCCTAAAACCTAAAATTTTTAGCTCAGAAAATTTAAGTTTTAACTCATAAATAGCTTTTCTGCTCCAACCATTTTGGCCTAAATTTTTTAGCCCCAAATTATTAAAGAATAAATTTAGGCTAATTTTTCTTTTAAGTAAGTTAAAAAAATACTATCCTAATTTAATTTTATGAACATTTTAACGTAAAAATATTTAGATTCCAATAAATATTGAAAAATCACTAAATTTGGGTGAATTTTGAGTTAAATAATTTTTTTTAATTATTTTAGTTGTTGGATTTAAATTTGGACCATTAGATCTTTTTCTTTTTTACCATTAGAGATGATTATATTTGATCTCAACCGTTGGATTCTATAAATATATAAATATTAAAAAAATAAAAAATTTGAATGTGGATCGTTGGATCATAAAAACTAGCCATTAGGCTATCGCAGCCATCTGACACACGGGGCACATGCCCACATGGGTGGGGTCCCGCTGGTTTTGGCCTAGCGCATTGGGCGCATCCGGAGAGTAGGTTTGGGCATTTGGGCTTTACATCAGTTTCTTCACTCTCACTGGTGGGGCCCACACCATTTTACGGGCTAAATCCTAGCCGGTTTTTTACTTTTTTTTTGAGGTTTTAGGTTTGGACCTTAATAAGCCAATCAATGAGAATCGCCCTCATTTTCTTGTTGATGTCAGGTTGGTGAGCCATGTAGGTTGGGGAGACAGAGCTTGACTTCACTTGAGCTTTTAAAATGGACACTTGAGTTTTTTGATATGGGAAATACCACCAAGACCTTACCTTAACCACAACAGCCTCCGATGTAGCCCAGGAAGATGTCGATGAAAGCCACTGTTGCTCGAAGCCCCTCTTATTGTGTTGTACCACAAGCCAAGACTCAAAAGCTGAAAAAATGAAAGAAGTGGCATTGCCTCCCCATAGAGCAACTTTGATATCCTTTTCCCACAAGAACCCAATTTTCATTGTCTGTAATGGTTGATGCATTCCAAAAAGACCTGAGCGTCTGCCATGAAGTGGCAATGTGCAACTCAGAATTTGCATGAGTAGTCAAAAGTGCAAGGCCTTAGGCAGCATGAAATCGAAGAGAGTTCCCTTATTGTTCAGTGCCTCTTGGCATGCATTGTTCCATTCTACTGTAGCAGTGTTGTAAGTTACAGACCACACAAACTTTGCCATTGGATGCTTCTCATACAAAGGTCTCTTAGACATTTCCTCAAACAGGTGTAATGCATAAAAATCTTTCTTCACAAAATTTCCCACAAGATACCAATTAACCCATCCAGTAATTTCAGCCAATAAAACATCATACATCACCAAAATAACACCAACATAATATGCCAAATTCGCCAAGAAAAAGGAAGTGAGTTTTTTCTCTGGGAGAGAGAAGAGAGCCGTTTTCCGCCATTCGAGCTCGCTCGCTCGCTCTGGTTCTTGAAAAATCCCATAAAAATAAAATCCCTCCGCAAAACAAGAAAAATAACTCCTAAATGCACCCAAAATTTAAAACTCGAAAAATTACTCACAAGCTTTGAAGCTCTAGAAAATGGCAGAAAGTTGCAGACTTTTAAGCTTTGCGGTGTTAGATAATGGCGGATGAAAAAACCCAGGGAGAGAAAGAGGGAGCTCGTTGGATTTATGGGTTGGTGGAGGTGAATATAAAGAAGCGTGTGGGCGTGCATGAGAATTAGTGGGTTTGCTAAAACCACCCACCTCCAGGTTTGGATGGATTGGGGAGGGAGAGAAAGATTTTTTAATTAATTTTAATTATTAAATAAAAAATTATTAATTAATTAATTAATTAATTTTTTTCAATTATTTATCATCAATGAATTAATTTTTTATTCTGGTTTGGCCGACAAACCAAGTGGGGAAGTAGAGAAATTTTTGATTGTGACCAGAACACAAGTGGTACACTACGTGTTTTTATATAAGTGATAGAAAATTTTATTTTTTAAGTTATTAATTTTTAACACACATATCAAAATATTTATATAATGACATATGATGTACCACTCTGTGTTTCCGTCACACTAAAAAATCACTGGGGGAAAGTCAGAGGTTTAGTGATAATTAACAAAAAGAAACTTTTATGGTGAACCCTTTTAATTATGACAAAAAACGGGGGCAAATGTGCAAAATCTAGCCCTATTTATAGCATAGCAGAGAAGTGGACTGGTCTCTTCCTGTGATGTTTGAAAAACAACTTTGAGAGAGAGAGGGAGAGAGACAGGTGAGAGAGACGGGAACTGGCTTTTGTTTGTCTCCTTGCTCAGTAACTCCCAAAGGCTTTTAATAAAACAACCCAAATTTGTCATTACACCTTGGCCGTTTCACAACCAAATTACACAAGAAGCAAAGCAAAACACAACCGCTTCTGCTTCTGCTTCTGCTTCTTCCAACTTCCCCTAACTTTCCTGCTAAGTTTTCAACTTTTCCATTTTCTGGGTCTCCAAACAATGTCCTCCTCCGATCTCTATGTCGTCGACGACTCCTTCTACCGCCACTCCACCACCCCAGAAATGGTGGACTTGCCATTCTTCTCCGAGCCATTCTCTCCCTTCTCGGACATTGACCTCCTCCAACTCCAAGCAATCTCCGACCAGCAAACCCAGCAAAACACAGCTGACCAAAACTCCCCATCTCTCCTTTCTTCTTCTCCCCCAAGTTACCAGCTCGAAACCTTAAGCCTTTACCAACAAACCCAATTACCCCAAATCGATCAAAACTCTCCAAATTTGCCAATTGGGTTGCCGAATTTCTCCCCTTTTGATGCTCTGGAGGTCAAAACTGAACCCCATCAAGCTTTTGGGCCTCATACCTATGGCGGCGCAGAGAATGTGTTGAAGTTTATGCAGAGGAGCTACAGCAGCAACTGCTTTGACGGAAGTAGTAACAAGCCTGATTTTTGCTTCAAGCCAAGCTTTGATTCTCTCATGGAGTCCCCAAGTTTTCAGAACCAAGCTTTTAGCTTGAGCTCTCCGGAAAGCAGCTTTTTGGCTGGTCAAATGAGAAGGGTTTCCAGCACTGGTGATTTGCAAGTCAGATGACTCTCTAAATTTTTAATTGATTTGCTCTGTTTTTATTTTAATTTAATCCATGTTTAACCTTAATCAAAACCCGTCTTATTTTTCTTTTTTTTCGGATTTTTTTGTTAGAATTTTAGAATAAATCGTACTCCCAGAGAGAGCTCAGTGACGGCGGAAGTAGCTGCAAACTTCAAAATGGGGAGGTACAGTGCAGAAGAGAGGAAAGAGAGAATCTCAAAGTACAGAGCCAAAAGGTCACAGAGAAACTTCAACAAAACAATTAAGGTAATCAAACATAATGTTTATTACATAATTCCACTAATTTGTAGGTGTTAAATTAGATTATTGGTGTGTTTAAATCTTAATGTGGTTGTTTGTTACTCTGTACGCGAAAAGTATGCATGTCGAAAAACACTTGCGGACAACCGGCCCCGCATACGTGGCAGATTTGCACGCAACGACGAGACTGAAGAGATTCTCAAAGCTGCATGTTCATTTAATAGAGAAGAAGATGAAGATGAGCTCTGGGTAAAATATATTTTCCTTTCACATTTCTGTGTTTGTTAAATTTACTATGTTAACTAGTACCTAAAAGTTTGACCGGTTAAAACTTTTTTTTTCTTTTAGCCATTAGAGGTTAGACAACGGTGGTACTGTATATGTTGTCAGACTAAGAACCTAGACTTAATTGGTTCAAATTCATAGGATTGAACAAATTTGTCTGACAACACCAGTCTAGCAAGACAATATTACCTTTTGTATACTTGTTAACCGATATGATTACAACGGGTTTAAAAGTGTGACTGTATAAATTATTAAGGTGATTAATCATAAACTTACATGGTAACATAATATTGATTAATTACCTTAAAATATAGTTTGTGAGACTGAATCTGGACGCATTTGGTTATGTTACTCTTGCATGAATGTGTGATTTATATATGTTCATTGTTCACGATGGTGTGACAAATATAGTTTGATAAGAAAATATTACTTTGTGTATAAAACTCCGTTACTGTGATAACGTAAGAGTTAACGAGATTTAACTTGGTGCAGGTTGAAGGGTTTAATGTAGAAGAGGAAGAGATGAATGCAACAGTAAGAGGAGGAGGAGGAGGAGGAGGACAGTTTATGAACAATTTTGAAGCTACCCAGATTCAGTACTATGGATTTTGAGTTCTGATAAGTCAAGCAAACAACAAAAGGCTTTTTAGGGGGAGATTTTCTAGAATATTTAGGTTTGTGGTCGTATAAAGAAAACGAAGAATCAAAGAGTTTCTTTTGCTTTTCTTTTTAATTTAATGAAATAAAACACCTTTGTTGCAGTTGGGTAGTTGTAGTGGTTGAAGTCAGTTGCTCATAGTGTTCATATTTTCGAATTATTTCGAACTCCTTTGTATATATGTGGTAATGAATAATATAATCTAATGTTTCTGTCAATGTCAATGTCATGGTTGTTTCCACTTCACATGCGTGCATGCTTTTTTTTTTATGGGTGGTGTTATCTACATGCTCATTTTTACCTTTTACATTTTACAAACGGTCGAAAATTAAGAAGGGTGTGTAAGAGATATAAAAAAGTGTGTTTACCAACACCCTTTTCTTATAATCCTCATAATCAACAAATTGTGCATCTTTGCTCAATATCTTTAAGCGATGATGGTCACTATAGTGTTGGTTATCATTGGGGCAGTATGATTGAATTTTTCTACTATATTTTGAATTTAAACTCTTTCAATGATAATTAATATGGTTACGATGTTTTCAAAAGAAATATCAAATGCATATCTTCATTCAACATAATGCAGTCGCGAAAGAGTATTAAAATCAATACGCTATATAATTGAACGTGGTTGTCACTTTTTAAATAGCTAATGACATGTTTAATTACAATGTTGGTGGACAAATTTTATGAATCTTGTAAGCCAAATTACCAAAAGTTCCTAGTGAGAGGTCTTAGGGTCTTAAGTTTGATTCTCGTCAAAGGCGAATTTGAACCATATTATTGCTAGCCCATTGCGAGGCTAAGCACATTCCCTTTCCCCTTAACATAGATAATATTGTTTGTTTAAAAAAAAAAGTTCCTAGTGATCATGGCCAATGATTTCACTATATATTCATATATGTCGCATGGCATAGATGCCGCACCCCCCCCCCCCCTTTTTCTTTTTCTCTCTTTCTACCTTTGCCTTTATCCTCACAAAGAAACTTGTTTAAAACCGTCATATTCCTTTTTTTTTTTTTTCCTTTTTTAAGAAAATGTAGGATATTGATTAGAAATATGCACAATCAATGAGGATAGGGTGCATACAGTGGGATTCGATAAAACCTTACAGGGAATTTCAACTCGATTGAAAGGAAAAAGATTGTCCCGCACTAAACAAATTAGGAATTACTATCCTCAAAGAGAAGATCCATAATTACATCAGGAGGTTCTTCAAACCAAAAAATAGGATTATCACAACTTAGACTCTTTGTGCTAATCTGTGCGCCACTTTATTTGTCTCCCTACAGCTAAAACCAACTTTCCATTGGGGCAATGCCTGAATCATCGAGCGAGTATCATTTAGAATATTTCCAAATGGCGAGTGATCTTATTGATGATCATGTTGAAGAGCTACCATCACAAGTAACGCATCCCCTTCGAAAACAAAGGCTAGTAGTTGCTTCTCCTGCAGCATCCCTAGCTGCCATAGTCTCGGCCAATAGAGGGGAAGGAATAACATCATGCCTCCTTGCCAAGGCCACCACAAAATCACCCCTATCGTTCCGAATCACCACCCCAACGCCACCAATACTTCTATTTTCATCCCAAGCCACATCAAAATTACACTTGTACCATCCTTCTCTTGGCTTCGTTCATTTTTGAGAAACTTTACAGTTGCATTTTTCATTTTTTCTATGCCAGTGTTGAAATTCTTTCATCCAACTAATTACCTGACAAATTAGTTTCGTCGGTTTGAGTGCCTTTCCTTGCCACAAAAAGGAATTCCTTTCTTTCCACGTACTCCAAAGAAGAATAAGGAATAACAAGATACCATTGCATTCCACTTGCTTATCCAACAAATTGTCCTTACCTTTGACCCAAAAATAAAAGACAAATTGGTCTTACTTTAGAAGGAGTTGTCGTAAGTCATTGGTAGCCACAAAAGCAAAATTTTGTGATCTTCGCTGAAGTAAGGCATTGCACACACCAAGATACCATTGAATAACACTGATCTTTCAACCCTGCGAATGCCCTTACGATTCTTTATAAAAATAATAAAAAATTATTCACTTTATTTTTAAATATTAGAAAAAAGAGTCACGAATATGAATGGCCACCCACAACTGTGGCTGTTATGGTCAGTTTGACCACAAACAATCCAGCTAATCACCCACGGTTAGCCAATCTTTTACACTCGTCCAGCTTTACAAAGGATGAAAGACTGATGGATTTGATGAAATATTTCACTTCAGCTATATTTTTTAGAAAATAAGAGTTTAAATATTCTAAGTCTACTTTAACTAATACCGAAGTTTTTTATGATAAAATTTCATACCTAACGGATTGTGCAAATGGTAATGATCAAATTAGGGACTATCGATGTTGTTGGACGTAGATCTTTAGCCCGTCTCTCTGATAATTCTACAGGCAACTGTTCCCTTTGAATTAAAATTGTATATATTAAACTTAGCTTGCTTCACTAGAAGATAGTGGACTTCTTATTCATGTACTTTAGATATGCCTTAAGCAGCTGTTAAGAACTAAGCTTTCATTAAAGTGGCTTTTTAGTAATGACATTCTGTAAACCCTATTTGACTATGAATTTGGCTGCACGTTTGCAAGCAATAGGTTTCTTTGTTCGAACTTAGGCGATAATTCAATTCACAACTTGACACTTGATCCACGAAGGAATAAGAAATATACCTTTATATAAATCTATGATGTTCTTAACCCTACCAGTACCCAGTGCTTATTTACACTCAATTTTCTGTGCAATTTTCTGTGTCGGTAGGGCAATCGATTAAGTTGATATAAAATTGCAGCATTAGTAGCCACCTCAGATGGTCAATATAGCACATAAAGTTGAACTGAGTTAATGGTAAAATGGGATTCTTCTAATAATTAACTTACCTCTTAGTACCTAGTCGAATCTTGTTTGACAACTTATATACGGCTTAAATATTAAATTCTATATAATAATGTGCTTAATTATGATCAAATTGAAACTTTTTCAGAACTTTTTTTCGTTCTCTCCAATTTAAACCTTGAACAGAATGAGAAATGCCAAGGAGACTCTTTTAAAGTGAGATTCTTTATGAATTATCTGACACTTCACAGTTTCATTAATTTCTGTGCCGATAGTACAAAACACATTGTGCAAAAAATGATGAAGTGACAAAGAGTCTCACTCTTGAGAGGGTCTAATATTTCTTAAACTGTATCCGAGGAGGAAAAATTCGAACTCAAGATCTCGAGCGCAAGAAAAATGCTTTTAACTAATTGACCTAAACAAGCCTTTTGCAATGATTATATTTATTAATTAATTCCTGTTGCAGTCCTATTAGATTATGAATGTGATTACGTAAATCCTAGTATATCTAGGGATATCTCTTATATTCCTATTAGGAGTAGATTACCTATTAAGAGTTGTAATCCTAAAGGGAAAGGTTTTTACCTATCCTACTACTATAAATAAAGGCACAATGGGGTGGAATAACACACACCTCAATTACACATCTTTCTTTCTGGCCTCCATAATTTTTCAGTAAATTATGCCTACAACACGTTATCAGCACGCTCTTGACGTTGCACTAAAGAGAGTTTGATTTTCAATTAGGAGAGCATTACGTTTTAATCATTCTTTTTATGATTAATTTATTGTTTTGAATTGATCTACATGCTATTGATTCAATTTGATTTTTCTGTGTTGAACGTGATACAACACGCATTGAAGATGCAATTCCGGCTTTATGCGAAGGATCTTCTACAAATTCAAAGGCTTTTGTTGTTTTCTGCCAATCAGGTACACTTAAAATAAAGTAAGATATTTGAAACGACCATGAAGCATGAAAACAATCCCCATGATGCATGAACCCCTCTATGTTTATATTTTCCTTCCGATATATAAATTGTATATGTTTCATATATTTTGTCAATATATATATATATATATATATTTGTTTCATGCAATACGCAATTATGCTATGTGGAATTTGTGAGTCAAAGAATCGGAATAAAATAGATGCATGATTATTTTATTATTTTTAGGGGTTCTGAAAACCCTAAATAATAGAAATCGACGAAAGAAAGAAAAAAAAATAGAGACAAAGGGCTTTAAAACCCTAAGCCACGCGTTGACCCACGACCAAAAGCCAACGAGCCATGTGAGCCGAGCCACCAAAGGAGCCGAACTGCTTCTGCACCCAAAACCCAGTTTGTTTTTGGGCTTTGCTCACTCTCAGCCCACACTTGGCTTGCCCCTTTTTATCTCTGCAGCCTGCAGCTGCATCCCTAACTCGAACCAATAGTCGATCCTCCATGCAACAGTCGTTGGTCGATTTTTACTCCCTGGCTTGTATTGCGGCAGCAAGCCTGTTGCTTATGCATTTTTTTTTCTTTCTCGCGGCCCATGATATCACAACAAGCATGCAACTTGCTTTGCAAGTCATTGGGATGCCCAATGCAGCCAACCCGAGCCCAAATTTGGGCCTAATTTATTTGTGTGGCCTACAGCCAACATTAAATAATAAATGGGTCTAGACAAATTTTATTTTGCTTCTACGATCGACCCCGAATGGTCCCAATCTATTGAATTAATTAAAAGTGACTTGCAATCCATTCATCTAATAATGAATCCAAAATTATTGACCTGAAGATCACTTTTGGACATTAACGATTCAATATTTTATTTCTTCTCTTTGAACCGTTGACTTACTTTCGTAGTCCCGAAGCACTCACACTTAAGTCCCTGAAGCAACTCAAATCCACTACACTTAGTTGTATATTGCATTCTATGTTCTTGCAGGAACCTCTCTTTTATGAACTAAACGTTCATGAACTAAATTAAACATGTAGTTTCAAATTTAGTGCCTTTGAAACCCAAAGTTTTCATAAAACAATACACCCATGAAAACCCGACGTTTTGTCATGAAAACCATGTCTTAGAACTCGAATGTTCTAACTTTGATGCTTATGGATGATTCCTTCCCATAGCACCAATCACAATCTTGTTCCCTCCATTCAGTGGATTGTTGTACCGTAACAAGTTCGATTTTCCTGATTTGGACGTTTCTAATAAAAACCACTTCATGTCGGGTACAAGACGTGAATCTCCACTTGACTATCAATAAGCTGAGAAACCATTGAAGCTAACAATGGCATGGAATAGCTGAATAAGCCTCCGCCATGATCTTCATTCAAAGACTTATGCCCAAAGCATTACCAACGGAAGTACCTCATG